AGTCAACCTTTACTCAAACAAAAAAATTAGGAGTTAAGTTGCTGAAGCCATGAATGACTTTTGAGCTTTGTGAGAGACTAAAACATAGAAATCTGTTGTATAAAAAATTAAAGAAAAATCCTGAAAATTTAAAATTAAAACAGTGCTTTCAGTCAGTCTCCTTAAAGCTGAAACAAAATATTCAAACTCAAAAAAGCAACTATTATTTCAAACTTTTTGAAACCAACAAGGGTGACACCAAAAAACAATGGCAAACTGTAAATGCCATCTTAGGTTAAAGAAATGAAAAAAAGAGCATTGACTGTATTATGATAAATTAAACTCCAAACATATTGATATACCTATGACAACCTAGAAATTGCAGAAGAATTCAATCAATTTTTCACCACTGTTGTAGGCAGGCTTTTGAAAAATCTTGGCTCAATTGATGGTTTTAATATGTGCGCATACAGAGGGACTTTCCCTTCAATACATGTCAGTAACTCTTTCTTTCTCATGCCCACCTGTAAATTTGAAGTCTCCGATATTATAAATAATTTAAATGTCAATATATGTAAATATTGATGGAATCTCATCCCGAACCATCAAAATGTCCAAAAAGTATATTAGTTCAGTACTCTCGTATATTTTTAATCTACGTTTTGAAACAGGGGAATTCCCTTCCAAATTAAAGACAGCTGTTGTAATTCCGTTACATAAAAAAGCAGATTCTATAGAGTTGAACAATTATAGGCCCATTTCACTGCTATCCGTCTTTGCGAAAATATTGGAAGAGCCAGTTAAATCTAGGCTGCTTCAGTTTTTAAATTCAGAAAATTGTTTAAGTTCAAACCAATATGGAATTCTTGGGAAAAAAATTACCGAGGACGCCTTACTATCGTTTTGTACCAAAATATACAATGGAATCAATTCAAAATTAAATACGGCTGGTTTGTTTATCGCTATTACCAAGGTATTCGACTCTGTTGATCATAATATCTTTTAGCTAAACTGGAGGATGTAGGAATTCGAGGTGTTGCCAAAACTTGGTTTAAAAGTTTTTTAACTGAAAGAAATCAATGTGTAAAAATAAAAAACGAAACAAGTTCTCTTCTGCCGATCTCGTCGGGAGTACCGCAAGGTTCAGTCCTTGCACCAACATTATTTATTTTATACATAGATGAATTGTGTTTGGGGAATTTTCAGGGTACAGTGACTTGCTTTGCAGATGACACTGCGTTAAGCTATTCGTAACTTTAGTACACTAAAAAGTAATATTCAATCAGATCTGAACAAACTAAAAACATGGTTCACTGTAAATAAGCTAGCATTAAGTTCCAAAACCAAACTGGTCTATTTCTTGCTACGACACAAAGAGCATATAAATGAGGATGTATATTTTAAATGCAAAAAATGTTTGAGTGGAACCGACCGATGATATTTGCAATAATTGTGTATTAATTGAACAGGTAGAGAAAATAAAATACTTAGGTTTAATCCTAGACAAGAATTGCCTCTGGAAGGAACATATACAATCAGTTAAAAAATATGCTTACTTTTTTTCATATCAGAAGAAATGAGCATTCATTTCCTTATTTTACATTGCTGCGGGCACTCCCCATCAGACATTTGTATGTATATAGAGTCCCGCGCATTTTTTATATGAGAGGCGGCCAAAAAACGGCAAATGAGGAGGTTCACTCGGCAAGACTGAGGAAACTAAATCGTGTAGCACTTTTAAAACCCACGTGTGAGGCATTTAAAAGATCTTACAGTTACACCACTTTATCGTTTTTCAATAAGCTGCCTCTTGAAGTTATTAACGCAAACATCTTGACCAAGTTCTCAAAGAATTTAAAAAATTGGCTGTTTACATTAAATTTTGATGAAAATAGAAAAACTTTTTACTAAAAATTGATTTCCACTACCTCACTTAAAAAGCACTTATGAATTAACATTTTTTATTTTTATTTTTTTTTAAATACATCCAACTTATGTTTAAATCAATTGCTTATTCTATAGAGTGTATCTATTGTGGTTCCTGCAACTGATATGTTACTGTGTTATATTTTTTATAGAAGGTAACCTCAACACAGCATTGCTCGGAGGTACCTGCCATGTGTCACGTAAAAAAAATTTCTGTTACGTTAGCTATACTTTTTTTGTGCTCTGTTATGATACATGGAAATAAAGATTTACTCTCTCTCTCTCTCTTACTCTGACATCTCCTATACTCAAAACTAGACTCAAACTCTAAATTCATATCATGTCTGAGAAATGAAGACTCGAAAAAATTGGAAACATTTTCGAAAAAACAAATTATGCGAAAGGACACATTTTCCATATTCAGAAGCTTATGGGGAACTGAATCTGGAGTATATGAGAGTCATTTCCATCATAAAATAGGCGTTTTAAGTCAGCTTGGTATAAAGAGAGGGAATGAGCTTTGCACGAAATCAAGTGACCCTAGTTTTGGCATCCGAAAGGAGAATTGTTTTAATACCGTTGTCACATAAAAGGGAATGGATAGTTCTCTGTCAAACACAATCCTGTAAATTGTAGTTATCAGTTAGTAGGTTTTCTTATATTTTGAAAAGCACTCAACTATTGTTTGGTATTGGGACGATTGTCAAATAAATTACCCAACAGTTTTCAGTTCTTGCAACGTCCTTACTCAAAATGAAGACACGAAACAATAAAAAATCTTGGCCAATGCTAAGAAATTTTATAAATCCCTCATTTCATTATGAATGGGTTTAGGATGATTGCATTGAGAATGTTATTGACAATCGATCATCTAGTACTATTAAGGTGAATTCCGCCCACAGTACCTATAATTGCAGAATGCCGCCGTTTCTCTAATAGCCAATTATAGAGTTCTAGAGTTAATCAAGATGTGTCTAGATCACATTTCATTTATAGCATCGCCTCGCAAGCCGTAAAAATCATACCTGCACGTATTATTAGCATACCGTACCAATAACAAAATTGTTTCCCCCCGATGGTTTGCTTTAGGTTTAAGTTTACGACTTTGTTTTGTTGTACACGGCGGCGTTGAAAAGTAACCACGAATAAATAAGTCCATAATTTGGCAAATCACGATACGTCCCCTTACATAACAGGGCCATAAAAACGCCCACACGCACATATGTAAGATACCATCAAAATATATGGAGGGCCCTGCATATATCGATAAGTTAAATATCAAGAAGGCGGTAGGTAGAACGTTTACAAGACGGTAATGAATGGCACTGGCCGAAACTTGAGACAAATCCAACGACTGAAAATTATGGGTTATCCTTTTCCGGTTGTTTTATTTTGGCATCGGGGAATGCCACAATTTCTTTTTATTTAAGTTATTAGCGAGCTCTTTTATTATAAATGCTAATTTATGTGCGGGGTTGAAAATTACGATCATAAATCGCCTATGAGGGTATTTTAGACATGGCCACATTTCAATTGAAATTAATGATCGAATGCACGCAGTGTGTGTTGGGTCAAAATTTAATTTTATTAAATTCCGAAGGAGGAATTTAAACTTAACCTTAAAATTTACAGCCGCTGTCATTTGGGAAGGGTATTTAATTCGTAAGTGTGTCATTATACATTTAAGTACTAATAAATACTCATTATATAAGGATAGAACCATCAGATATAACGTTTTGGGAAAGTCTTGTGTTCTATGCGCGCGATTAAACGCTGAAGATATCATTAAGTTACTAAAAAGGTTATTAGATGGATGCTAAAGAATTCTTGGCTAATTGAAAATCTCTGAAACAACTACATATGGAACTTGCCGCTATGCCATTTAGTTTTAAAGTTATAAAAAGATTCAAATTTTATTGTTTAACTTCCAAATAAAAACCGAGAATTTAGGATTTCCAAAATGAGTCATCTCCTGCATTGTAAGAATGTAATTCCACAGAATGTTTAGTGCATGGGTTTTCAAGGAACGGTCCAAATACGAGTAGTACATTTCGTCATTTTGAAATAGGCGTTAATCAATTAAAAAGAGAATAGGTAGGGATTAACCTGGAGAGATTCTTGAAGGCATTCATTCAGCCGCGAACGAAACAAGACAGATTGACCTGTGTCGTTGTAAAGCATAATGGTAAAATCAAGGGTAAAATTATCTAAACTTCCGCATTTGAAAAAGCATAGGGTATAGAAATTTGCTTTGTGAAAGTTTCTCCTTTGGTGTCAATACAAAGCACTGAGAACCCCGTTACTAACAAACTGTCGTGGAAAGAAAATATTGATTGCCTGCGATTTATAAAAAATCCAACAAAATTGTTGTTCAGAGGGCACCAATTCTCCGGATAATCAATAAGCCTACTGTCACTAAAGATCCAATCTGCAAGTTCCATTGCTAATTTCCGAGCTACTGTCACTACGAGGGGGAGGGGGTCCCAACTCTATTTTGTATAAACACTATCATTTGCGGAAGGACATTTTTACATGAGATACAGTGCTTTTATTTCTATGAAATTAAGGGTTTTTTTTTATTATTTGCAATTTAAATCTTTACAGATTATAATGCTACATCTGTCACATTGAAACATAACAAAATGTATATAAGTATAATGTTAAATATTTAACTTGCAATTATTTAGAAATGTACATATAACATTACAAATGGAGGTAGTAGTATTGTGCAAAATTGCCTCAACGCGAGTAGGTAAATGAATTCCAAGATTTTTAAGTTTTTCAGTGAAATCCTTTCGGAGATGATCATAACTTGGGCATTGCCATAGAAT